TATTTAGGAGATCTGTTTCTGAGGATGTTGAAGAGCTTGATCCTACCGCTGATTATATCTAGCTTAGTCTCGGCCATTGGATCTCTCGATTTGTCATTGAGCGGCAAAATTGGCATGCGCGCTATAGTGTATTACATGGTGACCACTGTTAGTGCCGTTATATTAGGTCAGTAAAGCTAAGAGATTTCTGACATTCGAAAGTTATTTAATATAGATACTAGAATGACAATATAATAGTAGTAGAGCAGGCGGAGTATCGTGTAGAATGTAGAGGAACAACGTCATGACATATTATAGGAGTAATGACAAAAAAAAAAAAAAAGAAAAACGATATTAAGATGATATAGTAGATGCAAATGATACAGAATTTACATAAACATCGGTAGTTTCGCGATAACAATATGGTATTGGTGCGATATAAAGCGTTTCACGCGTATTAAAAAAATGTATGATTTCGTTTCAGGTATCATTTTGGTAATTAGCATTCAACCGGGTGTAGGAAATGATCCGGATATTAAACCAAAAGAACGATCTCAAAACGTTTCAACCATCGATACGTTGATGGACTTAATTCGGAATATGTTTCCTCCGAATCTAGTAGAAGCGTGTATCTCTCAACATAGGACGGAAATGCAGAAACCGGCAAACAGTACATCAGGTTAAAATCTTCCTTAAGAAAGAAAAAGAAAAATCGTCTAATTTTATTAAAATATCTAGCAAACTATAGTAGTTACGACGAATATCTTAATACATTGTTTGTTGAAACAGATAACATGGATGATTGGGAACCAGTGCAAAGGAGCGTGCCGGGAATGAACATCATGGGCCTGGTTGTCTTCGCCACGGTGCTAGGTATAACGCTAGGAAAAATGCAAGAACAGGGCAAACCGCTGCTCCTGTTTTTCGAGTCCTTATCCGGCGCCATGATGTTGATTACTCATTGGGTGATTTGGTAAATTCATATTTGACGAAACTACCTTGTGAAAGGTATTCCGGTCTCCAACTTTCTCGCGGTACCATTCAATCCCAGACAATAGCATCCCGAATTCTATCTACGTTATCACGAATTTTTATACATCACGAAAATAAGCTGTATAATTCTTTCGCGTAATAATGAAATATTTTATTCTACAGGTTGTCGCCTGTGGGTGTCTTCTTTCTGGTAGCCTCGAAAATTACTGACATGCAGTCGCTGGACGAAGTGGTCGCTCAGCTAGGAATGTACTTCCTCACTGTCTTAATTGGTCTCTTTATACACGGTTTCATAGTTCTTCCATTACTATACTTTGTAATAACAAAAAAGAACCCGTTCAGGTACATATCCAACTTAGCCCAAGCGTTGGTCACTGCGTTCGGCACATCCTCCAGTTCCGCTACGCTTCCAATCGCTATCAATTGTCTGGAAGAGCGAAACAACGTCGATCCACGAATTACCAGATTCGTCCTACCGATTGGTGCTACCATTAACATGGATGGTACAGCCCTGTACGAGGCCGTGGCTGCGATTTTCATCGCGCAAGTCCGTCAAGTTAGTCTGAGCTTTGGCCAGCTGGTAGCAGTCAGGTAACTAAAATATAAAACAAAGTTTTCCTTATATAACGTTAAAACTTACACAAAAATTTCTATAGTATTACGGCGACTGCTGCAAGTATCGGAGCAGCTGGTATCCCGCAGGCAGGTCTGGTGACGATGGTAATGGTGCTGGATACGGTTCGACTTCCGGCTGACGATGTTTTCCTAGTTATCGCTGTCGATTGGTTGTTGTAAGCACTCGTCTTTGCTCATTCCCCGCCAATATACTTCGTCTAGTTTGTTCATTAAGCTAATATTGGATTTATATGAAACGTTAATCGTTGGATTTGCAGAGATCGTTGCAGGACGACGGTGAACGTGGTGGGCGATTCCCTAGGAGCGGGAATTGTGAATTATTTAAGCAGAAACGAGCTGGCTTCGTTGCCACACAATACACAGGCCCAAAACGGAGCGGATCGTCATACCACAACTTCTATATGAGATGAAAATCGTATCGGTATTAATCGGTATTAATTGGTATTAATGGAGAAAATTTGAAAATTCTGGCAGGAACGATGAGCGTTCGCTTTTTTTAACACTTTGCTCGTTAAATTGCTGCACACTCCCACCGAACTTAACATTTTTCAGGTCGAACACGAAGTTCAGTAAGCATAATAATTCTTCGAAAGCAACGACAACGCATAGTAGCACTTGTGTAACTACTATACATACTATAATCCGTTTTGTTCGTAGCAAGTTCGTAGAGATCAGTCTTCCATTACTCAAGAAGAGACTTCGATGATTCTTGTACGATAACGTTAGAAGAATTAGAGCGATATTTTTTTATATTTAACCGTACAGCTGCCAGATTCGTTCGATTTGCGTACAAAAAATAATCAAATAATCCGATCATGTTTTAATGGTCATATTTTCCGTTGATTTTATGTTAAGTTGCGAGGTCTAATTGAAATGGTAGGAAACGACAGGGATTCGAAGAATCTAGATCTGATTTTATCCAAGTTGGAGCGTGGAAGCACGCTGGGAACGTGATTTGTTCAATTGATTCGTCATGTGCCATATACTTTAAACTGTTAGAAAGTACAATTGTCTAGCCTGGTGTTGTTAAGTTTCGAAATATTCCGATATTTTAAAATTTGCACGACCTCATTTCCTGAAGACCATTTATTTATTCAAACGAATTTATCCGATATCACGCGAAAGCGTTATAAAAGTTAACGGTATAATGAACGTATTACTGCCTAAGTGTTTTCTAATTTATTCTAAAAGTGTTCTTCTTTATCTTATTACCTCTGAACTCGTTTACGGCGAAATATCATTCTCTTCTCGCGAATCAACGAAGTTGTTGTGCAAACGTTTCATTTCAAATTGCATCTTTTCACGAGTTATAACTTTCTTACGTATGTATACTTAGAAAATTCGATGGTACTTCAAAGCAATACAGAAATAGTGCGAATACAGTTGAGATATATCAAATCCTATTGTAATATATGGTTATTTTAGTCACACCGTTTGTATTAACGATAGCTATATCGCATCAAGCTATCACTTACATTTCGATCTTTGTCTTCCATTATTACATTACGACCTATAATCTTTTTATCGATTTCTAAATTCTTAATGGTACACCTATAAAATATTTCGAATTGAATTCAATTCCTTATAGATTTATAGGCCTGTAAAAAGATTACGGAAAGATGCAGAAGAGATGTTTCAAACTAGTTTCAAGCTAGTACTATCTATAGAGAGCCAGTAAGAAGAATATTATGATGTTCAATATACCTCACTGCACTAGACGAAAAAAAGTGTTCAATTATTAACTAGAAAGTGAAAAAGCGTATTTTATTATCATCTGACGAAAAATAATCGAAGATGCATTATCACGTGTACTCTTTTGTGCAGTTACATTGGTGCATGCAGAGAATGTAACTGGACAGTTAATTTATATTTGTAATTTATTTACAACATTATATCGTATGTGGGGATCATTTAATTGACTCAAGAGACGATTAAGTATGTTACACTCTTTTTCCTTTTTGCATAATTAACGCCATTTTTTTTAATGACAATTAAAATAACAATGTCAACATGATATTTTATTATAAAATAAATTCGTAAATTATTTAAAAGACCTGATCAATGCGGATACATACTAACTTTCTAATCGTAAAAGAAATTGTGTATAAAGAAAAAGGATAACCATGATTTAATAAACATTCAGGAAAAATTGAATTGCTCTTCAGTATCATTATTTAGGAAGGAAATCAAGTTACAATGCATGTTTAATATTAAGGTATGATTCAAAACTAATAATCGTATTATCGTAATTAATCCCGTGAATCGATATACAGTTACATCTTATAATCAAATTCTATTAGCAGAATTTATGTACCTGTACGTAATTAAGTATTTGCCATAGTTGCTTAAAAATATACTGTATAATATTTATTTGTACAATAAATGTACAAACTGACGTAACAATAAAGTTATTGCTTATTTCTAAACAAAGTTAGATAGATTTTTTGAATATCAGTTGTTTTAACTCGTCGAAAAAAGAAAATATATATATTTTTTTATACTTAATATTCGAATTGCTTCTCCTTCGTTGCATGGGTTAATTCAAGATATGAAATAATTCGTTAAAATAATTACTGAAAATTATTTATTTCAATCGTAATTCTATCTGTGCATAATATAACATTTTTTTGGTTTTATCAATTACATTTCGATTTGCGTTGTCATGAGTAATATTAAGTGGCAGTTGCAGAAAAATAAGTGTATATTTGGGATGTTAAAAATCTGTAATATGTATTAAAAAGAATCTTAGAATAGTATTAAATGTACGTAAGAAAACAATAGTATTGCAAGGGCTTCTATCACATTTTAAACATAATCTATGGTCACCTACATATTTCTATTGTCTTGTTTGCAAAATGGATATGCAGGACTGATTCGTATTGTGGATCACTGATTGATTTTATTATAAGCTGATACATTATTTGCATTAAAAAGAAACATATAAAAGATAAAGGATATTTTTGTTGTATATTTAAAAACTATAATGCATAATAACGTAATATGACTAGATAAAATGCACTTTATAATAATACTTTCAAATAACAATATATAAAAATGCAGAAATAAGAATAAATTCAATAAAACAACTGGCAATTTTGGAATTGTACAATTTTGATATTTTTTCCATTATCATCTATATATAGCCGTAGATATATGTATAGATATAATAACAAACATTACTAAATATGCTATGCAAATATAGATGTTTAATTTTATTTCTTTGTCAAAGTAAGATCACGTTACATTCACTTTGTTTTATCCATAGATAGATAGAAACCAATTCATTATTTAATGCAATGATTAGCGATCGCTGAATTGTCTGAATTTTTATTAAGGATAAAAAGCACTTATGATAGCATTAATTATATAAAATTTGTATAGCTGATGTTAGGTGACCCTATAAAATGAAGCATGTTCTCGTGATACGATTTTCATACTGTCATCCCTTTTTCGATTATTTAAGAAGAAAAGTATGATAGTAGATCAAATCGCAAAATACATATTTATAAAGTCTTAAAATTTTAAACAGGCGTTGTTATGTACATAATATAAACAATTCGCTATATTATTTACAAAATTAAAATAGTTCACAAGATTTCGCGTTAATACTAAACATCTATAAATCACAATTGTCATCGATTTCGACAGTGTGTGTAAAATATTCTTCGTACCAGGATAATAAATTGTGCTCAATTGTGTGAAAATTTCGATATAGAGAATAACTTCCGATGCACCTTTTCTTAAAACAACTTTTAATATTTAATTTAGAGAAATTCCTTGTATCCATGAACTTAGATCACTTGTGTCTTCGCAACTGAGACTCAATGAATTCTTTTCGTTCTTTCTCGACTCCAAAAGTGTTTGGGCAGCTGTCCGACCGGTTAAATACGCCCCGTGTACCGTACTATAAAACGAAGAATGCGTATGTTCACCTGCAAATGCTATTACTATTTTCGAAGGATCATCTTCTTGTAGTATAGGCTCAGCTAAACAATTAATGTCTAATTGACTTGCACCAACAGCCATAGCGGTGTAGGAACCACGCGTATATGGCTGTGAATGCCACGAGGTGCACAAACAATTTTTTGGTGCTGGTACAAACGGATCGTTAAGAAATCTCCTTAATATTGATGTGCATACTTCTGCTACTTCCGCTCCATTTAATTTCTCCATGTATTCAGCAGCTTTTCCTGATATCCAACCCAGTAATAAAGTTTCCGAAATTTTCGTAAAGGAATAGATCTTTCTGAACCATGTTTTGCTGATGTCCTGCTTCTCTTCTTCTGACAGTCCTCTATCATCCCATAGGAGCATTATTTCTGACACACCAGGATTTAAAAATGGTCTTTCATATTCTAAAAATATTTTATCTACACAACCAAATAAAAGTCTATCTATGGCTTCAAGTTTGTCATTTGGTAAAGGTGGTTCAAATATATCATTGGCTTTTTCCTTAAGTACTCCTAGTGGCAATGTACAAATCACATGATCAGCTAATATTGTTTTTCCATTTTCACATTGTATTTCGACAGGTGAATTTGTATTAGAACAGCTATTAGAATTGTCATTGTTCATGCATTTGTTTCTTTGCCACCTATAATTAATATATTTATGTGAGAATCCATAACATAAATTTAACATTGAAAAGAAACCAATTTCAAGCTATGTTTACCTAATCTTAGTGACAACATGTTTAGTTAGAATGGTGTTCTTTGGTATGTGTTTTGAAACTGGTTCTAATATAGCACTGTATCCATTTGGAAGACTAATATTTCCACCTTGAAGTTCAGCATAAGATCCCATTTCCAACAAATCAACATCTTCCATGCTATCACAGCCAGTAATACAAGTTTCTCTTTTGAGTAAACAATCAAACAATAACTGTCTGACTTTTCTTTCTTCAGATGGCAAGGTTGATAAATAAATCTCAGCCTCTAATGACACATGTGCTCCAACATTGTTTATTCCATCTGGGGGGCTATAAGTACTTAAGAAATATTCCTCGCATCTTCTTAAAAAACATACATAAGCTTCGTAAATTTCTTGCAAAACTGGAAAAGGCAATTGTTTCCCATCTTCCATAGCAGCTACAACTTTGTGAGGCCTTGGTACACGTACTATATCTATTAATCCATTTGCCATAGCTAATTCAAACATTGGATTCCCTAGGACACCATGGATCCAATTTGCTCCTAATTCTACTTTTTCATTGCCTGTATTAAAGTGTATGGGTATTTAAATTTCAAAAGTTTTTATATAATTATTTCCATTAGAAATTAAAATCCATATGTACACATATATACAAATTTATATTTTTGTTTTATTTTTTAACAAGAATCTATCTTTTAATGGCAGTGCCATTAAAGTCCTAACCAAAGTATAAATGCATAGGTCAACAAACTCTTAATAACTTTTGTACTTTATCTATTTTTGCGTGTTTATCAAAAAATAATTTGTATAAAATACAAATCTGATGGTACAATCTTCAATTTATATTTTCTATGATTGCAACAATGATTGAATATTATAAATACATAATATAAGAAAATAAAAATTCAGGCACATATTATAATATAACAATCATATTGAGAGGATAGGTAAATGGATCGATTAAAATCAAAAGTAAAGACCGAGAATCGAAATACTTATTGATTGAGAAAGTTCTAAAATAGGTTAAGTAGAAACTCACCGATTTTGGTAGCGATTATACGCCCACCTATGCGACCTCGTGCTTCGACAATCAAAAAATCGGTCTCTTGATTCTTCAGTAAATGATTTGCAGCTGACAATCCAGCCATTCCAGCTCCGATGATTAAAATGTTACACTTAATTTTATCATCCTCTGTCTTCGTAGATTCCGCCATGATCATATCATATCAGTTGTCAATGACAAAATTTACATAGCTTATTAATATTTATTTAAAAGGAAAGACAGTTAACAACGTTTTTTCTCATATTGATTCGACCATCATACTTTCTAGCATTGTCATTCAAAAGTACTTCATTAAAATCTAATCAAAGTTTTTTGACGTTTTCCATTTTAACGTACATCCAAAATACCGCAAACCACAGACCGCAACATATAAATCAGAGAGGAAATGAGAATGCTCTCGCTTATGATCCTGGTTATTCCCGAGCTAGTGCTGCACCATACGGCCAAGCAGTGAAGGAAACTAGAGTTAGCATATACAAGAACCTATAAAATGAGGGATCTGGCCTCTTTGGTCGCGATTTAGTATATACAAGATCCTATGTATTTAAGCTTAAACTTAAGGATCTGTCCTATATGCTTGTACACTAGCAATATAACGTATGATGGTGTTTGTTAAGACGAATACAACAACCTTGTATATGAGATTATATATTTTCATTTATAACAAATCAAAAATAAAAAAGTTTGAGTTTTGAGTTAAAGGTCTTAGCTTATCGCAGTCCTATTTGTTGATCGCTTCGATTCTCAGTCCTTCTTTCTCTTTCACTAGCATTATCATTTCTTACGTTCGACACGTCTAAGATCTCAATTTCGAGAAATAGAATCGTTTCTACATCTCCACACTTATCGCAACACTTGGGTCCCGATTTTTGTGCAAAAAAACCAAATGTTTCCTGTATTATCACAAAACGCAATATTTGAGAAAGAATTGCTGTAAGAAAATACCAAAGGCGAATTCAAGGCAGTTACGTTTATAGCACGTTCTGTAGAATCGGAAATATTAAATTCGCGTGGTTCTACTTCGACATTCGCCTACGTCGACGATTGTACAAATAACACTCGAAAAAACCAGGCGTCGCAGTTACAAAACGTCGGAGCCAGCTGGCCCATGACATCATACGGGGGAAGGCTTAATTTATGGCACTCTCAAGTGTTGACGCTTCTTTCCACAGACTAGGGTGACGAACACCAGGCGACTGTCTGGAGGAGGTTTTTGTAGTATGGAACTCAATAGGTTCTTGTCTATGCTAAATTACGGCCAAACAATACATATCCCTAATTTTATAGGTTCTTGTATATGCTAATTTTAGTTAAATTCAGCACCTGGTTGCATGGAGCAGCACCTGTACTATGAGATAATTAGAACTACAGGCGTGAGCACTCTCATTTCCTCTCTGATGTTAATAGGGTAGATCCCTAACTGTAAGCTTAAATACATAGGTTCTTGTATATGCTAAATTATGACCAAACAGGGCAGATCCCTAATTTTATAGGTTCTTGTATATGTTAATTTTAGTTAAACTCAGCACTTGGCCACATACTACAGCACCTGTACTGTAAAGTAATTAGAACTACAGGCGTGAGCATTCTCATTTCGTCTCTAATGTTAATAAATCGTTTACCCCACTACTACTCTTCCGAATATAGATTTCACGAGCGATCTCCATATACCCCTGATCGAGGATCGAGGAAGTCTTCAAATTGAACCATATTACACACCTACGGAGCGCACATCTCCGCCTTGGCATAAATTATATGAAATATCAGTGGTTCATAGCATGTAACAAATAATGTAGCTATTCATTGATAAAAGAGCATATATGGTAATATTTGAAGGGAGGATTCGCGACAAAGTGAATCTTGACTTTCTAAAATATACTTTGAACAACTCGAGTCCAATAGACAACTAGCAGCGTCGCTCGTACAGCGCGCGATGTACGCCAAGGGTGGAGCCACACGTAAAGACACAAACAGCGACATCCACAAGAAAATTGAAGAACTCAAATCACTCATGAACCACTTTATTCGATCATAGATTCTTAACAATTCTTTCATTTTATCATTCTTCTCGCTTTCTATATAAATATCTCGATAATTTCGAGCGAAAACAAATGGAAATTTTCTCTCGATTCTATATATCTGTTCGTATTTACCTTTCTTTAGTAAGGCTGTGTCTTGCTTTTGCGCATAGCTGAATCTTTTTGTTTCGAACATCTTGTAAGATGGCGCTCCATATCTAAACGTCATGAGAACTGTCAATTCTTGCATCTACAAATCCAAAGTGCAAATGTCAAATCAACGAAAGTAAACAGTAAAATTTTTTTCTACTTTCGTTTTCTGCAAACGGTAAGTACCGTATTAAAATTATTTTACTTAGTATGCTGTCGATCGCGTGAATACATGTAAATGTTCCTGAAAAATTGGAACTTGGATTTTCTTACAAATTTACATTTATTCGAAGATTGCCAGCAATATCAGCAACATTGATTGTAATTAATTTACTTCTTTAAATTGATAAAGATAAAGTTCATGTTTTAGGATGTAGAGGTAATCTCCTTAATGTGATTTTTATGTACTTAATACTACATATATTGAAGAAAAATGTCAGACGAAGAAGATACTACAATACTGTTAAACAGTGCAAATAAAACTACCGAAACATCTATAAGTAAAGTCCCAAATGATTATCAATGTTTACCACCGAAAAATTTAAGGAAACCACTTCCTAAACCAAACGACAACTTAACACCATTGACATCAGGAAATAAAAATATTTTTGTTTCCATGGTAGCAATTTTTGCAGGTATTGCTTTTGGAAGTGATATGGGTATTGCAAAACCTATAGCTCCTTTGATAAAACATGAATTCAATTTGAATTGCTTTGAAAAGGATTTTGTTATTAGTATTTGGTTCATTGGAGCTCTTGTTGGTGGTTCAACGGGTGGTAAGTGTAAATAAATTTCTAAAAAATATAGAAATATAAAAAATAATAAAATGGATAGTACTAACGACACAATACTTTATAGGTTTGCTAATCGATTCATTCGGTCGACGTTGGACAATGATATCAACGCTCGTTTTTCTAACTTTTGGCGCCACATTATCAGCTTTGGCAAATCATTATATCTTGTTACTTGTCGCTCGGATAATTTGTGGATATTCTGGATCTGTTTCAGCAATAGCTCACTGCATATATATGGCAGAAGTATCCGAGCCAAATAAACGCGGATATAATATAATGTTATATCACTTGGGCACAGCTACTGGATTCTTGGTTTCAGTCATTGCTGCTGCTATAAAAAATATAGACTATCAGTGGCGATTTTCCATTGGTATAACAGCTGTTCCTGCTTTAGCTGCATGTATAGTAACCATTATATTTCTTCAACGATCTCCCCCATTCTTACTTTATAAAAGAATGGCAAACGTTTCGAAGACACCGTCCAAAAAAGCTTGGTATACGATTTTTGAGACTTTAACGATCATGGCTTTCTTACTGATATTGCAACAAGGTACTGGAAAACGACAAGTTTTGCATTATGCACCAAGATTGTTTGCATTATTAGGCATTTGCTCTAGTAAGTATCGTAATCATATATTCTTTTTTCTATCTTTTTTTGTTTATTTTTACATGAACATTTCTTGCTTTATTCGTTTCACAGACGTTGCAGAAGTCACAGCTTTAATATCCCTTGGCATCGTGAAGGTATTTAGTACGATGTTATCTCTGGTTATAGTAGAAAGATGTGGACGTCGAACAGCTCTAATTACATCGGCAACTATTTGTATGACAACAATATCATTATTGTCTTTACTTGCTACGATAGACAGGGGCGACGACAATTTAGATGTTGTAAATAACCATTGCAAGAATCATCATAACGAAGAAGTTAAAATTCATTCGATTTTACCTACTGGATCACCACCACCGTTCCCTTTATTGCCGACTCCATTAGCTATAGTCCCACCCAGCCCGGAAACCTGGACGCAAATTAAAGCATCTTGCGAAGTATATTTCTTTTATCTGGTATATTTACGATCATTAAAAGAATTCAATAGAATTGTTTTTATTTTATTGCAGACACAGAATATTGCTGTTTCTGAAGGTCTAACAGGTGGTTTACGTATTTTAGCAGTAATAACATTACTTGTATATGAAGCAGCATATGCTTTAGGACTTGGACCAGTACCACTTTTAAATCTTACAGAAGTATTTCCTGCAGCTATACGGGGGAAATGTATTAGTTCCGTTTCTATGGTAATGTGGATAACACATATTATTGCCACGGAATCCGTCAGTGCTATGATCAGTAAGTTTCCTCCAACTTTTCTCTTTCATATATTTTAAACAATATGTAATAAACAATATTTCTTATCCAACTTATGCATATAATTGTTCTTCTTTCAGGATCATTGACATTAGCCGGATCCTATTTGTTTTATAGTTTCATGTGCCTCGTTACAATATTTTATGTTTTTTTATTCATTCCCGAAACAAAAGGTAAGTCTCTACATCAGGTTGCACAAGAATTACGGAAAATTTCTCTTGGAACACGTATATGTAATAATTTACGTAGTTTACCGCTCATTTGTCATATTCAATGGATTAGAAAATATGACGAAAACGCGAGTAACGGGCAAAGTACCCTAATTTGAAAATAAAATTCCGACTATCAAAGTATTGGATTATCTTAAAAGTTTCCCGTAGTCTTTAATTATCAGGTTCAAGATCATTTGTAGGTCACAGAGAGTCACTAAACTTGTTTTATAATTGCTATTCCTGTTTTATAATTGATCGTTTCAAAGTCTTTTCAAAGTCATTTCAAAGAGATTTCAGTAACATTACGGTCATTCAAAGTGAACAGTTTAAAAACTACAGCAAGTTTCAGGATAATCCAATAATTACATGTAATCCCTATGTGTCTACGAAAGTATTCCAAATACTATTAACTTCATCTCGTTTTGCAAAGTCGTAACTCTTCTATAAAGTATTGTGTTCAACAAATATTGCATAAAAGTAACACACACGTATTTCAATAAAATTTTCTTAACTACGGATTATTACAGAACATATCACACAAACGTAATAAAGAATATCGAAATATGTAAAACATTTTCGATGCGAAAGACTGACTAGTTTTTGAATTTCAACTGTTCATCTTTTCTCAATTTATTAAGTAAAAGTACCTAAGTAATCATTTTTTTCATTATTTATACATGTCTTATGTATTTTATTATAATTTTTAATATTATTCAATGACACTTTTTATAATACTCACTTCTATGAAAAGTTTAATTGAGAAGGTGTGATTAGTAATCAAGTATTAGACTAGATATGTTGAGAATTAGATATTTTATAGTGTAATAACAGATCAAATTATGTTTAGAAATGCGTACCTTAGAAATTTCAATAAGGAAATGTATATGTTATATAATATATACCACCTCATATTAAGAATAGTCATCTTTTTTACTATACGTATCGTTACGCGTATAGAATTCTTCGAATATTAATTTTATGATGTTCATTTGGGTGTTCATTGCGATTTCTCTACGTATTACAATAACGTGTAATGTTCTTCGGTGCCATTTAAAATAAATATCACTATGTAAAAAATCTTTTATTATACATAACATTGCTGTATATAAAAATAATTTTCATATGTATAATTATTGCAGATTTACAATATTGTAAAATGTAATATTGTACTTGGCAATGATACAGTTGGTTTATGTACTTAATAAAATGTATAGAAAATATAACTGTTTTTTCCTTACATGTGAAAATGATGTTACTCCGAAGAGTAACTTATTCCAATTTTATGAAAATATTAATGTGCATTACTTTACATCGTTCAGTCGACTTGTAAACCTTAAAAACATTTTCATGTATTGCGTAAATTAAATTCGATTTCTGAATTATATGTATATACATTATTCTTATTTCCTCCTTTACTTCGATCGATTAAAATTAATCGCGCGAGTAAGGGAAAATGACATATTCTATGAAATAAAATTAAGTATCACTCTTGTAAAAACGTTTATCCTAACGAACAACAATTAAGTACATTAATCGTATTAAATCACTATCGCAATCTTATTTTGGAACTATTAAAAATGTTATTTATTCTATGTAACTAATCTTATGCAGGTTTTTTCACAGTAGATCCACTGAAAGACTTTCTTTTATTCCATGTTAATAATTTCGGCGGCGATAAAACTTGCTCCAAAAATATATGTCTTCTTTCTTTCAAATTTAAATCGCTACCGCACAAAGACTTATCGTTTTCGTAAATAAGATCGATATTATCTCGATTTGAATGACACCTATCGTTCGAGGTATTCTTTTCGTGACTTACTTTAAACGATGCGATAGGAGCTAAATTTTCTTTGTCGTACCTTGTACAATCGGATGACTTTTTTAAAATTACCGAGACATTTTTTTTCGATACATCTAATTCCGAAGAGGCAGCGGATTGTCCAATTTTAATAGCATTATTCGGTGTAACAACGTAAACTAATTGCGACTTGGATTCAAATTTTTCTTTTAACAGAGAAAATTTTCGTTTCGGATAATTAATCGGTTTTTTACGTTTATCGTCAGACGGTTCTAATTTTTCTTCATTATTATTAGAATTTGCCGACTTTGCCGATTGCATGCAAATATTTGGCATGGTGGCTGCCCGCGTAACATCCGTAGAATTCATATTCATGATATTAGAGGATACTGTCTCGGATAAATTATTATGTACAACCTTAACATTTTCAACAGGTACCAATGGACTCATTTCAACGTATAAATCGTTCTCCTTTGAATCGGATTCATCCTTTTGACGTGCGATAGAAGCTTGTTTTTGCAGCTTCGCTTTATTTCCTAAAATAGGTGAATCGGAAAGTATAGCATCTATCAAAGGCGTCTTCTTAATCGATTCTATCGTACAGTATTTAACTAAATCTTTGATAGTATCTATTTCGCATTTACCTCGAACAATCGATTCTGATTCGTCCAAGCAATTAATGTAATTTCTGTTACACGTAGCGGAATCATTTTTAAACAACGCTTTCGTCAGCTGTGCCTTCTTTATCAAATTTTTCGGATCAAAGTCTTCCCATTGACTACCCGTGGTATGATAGACGTGCCTAGGAGAATTTTCCGCAGTATATTTCCTGATTTGATCTATCGTACTAACTAACGTACTAACCGAATCACCGGGACCGGGTTGGCTATATTCAAATTTTTCTTTCGTGGTAATTTCATCATGTTCCTCCAAAATGGTATCCAATGCGAACATTCCACCTTTATCATCTATTACCACCGGCTTCGCGATATACAGAGTGGGGTTTTGTTCGTCAATGTCGGAAATTCTTTTCGTAGAAATATCTTCATTGTATGTCGTTTTTAACTCTCGAGAATCTATCAAATCATATGTAAGCGTGTCGAGATAATCGTCTTGTTTCAGAATTCCTCTTAATACCGAACTCGCGCAAGTCGTGTCGGAAAACTCAGAACTGTAAGTAGTGCCGGTAGTTGTACTTGTTAAAGTATCTCTTCTTCTATCTCTGACAACGCTATCGTCATGGATGTAAGTTTCTATATCCGTATATCCTTTCCAACTACGAATGCACCACGGTGGTCTAGCCACACCAAGAGGACAAACATTCTCATAGTCGTGAATCGACGTAACACAACTCATCGTTTCATCCCTCTGCTGCAACTCCTTCGTCAATTTTTCTGTTTCCTCCGTTGCAATTTTCTCGCAAGTATCGTTAAAAATCGTTGGAGTTTCCAATCTCTCTCTTAACAATGTAATACTGTTAATATCCTCGCAAATATTACCACGAGAACATTCTTCTAATTTGTCGCGTTTCGTACTTACGTCCGGTACCAAATTTCTATTGGTCACAACCTTTTCCTGAACATCGTTCTCCATTTCAAGGATAAGCTGATTTGAGAAACAGATACCTCGTCTCTTTTGCAATGGAAGACAAGAATTTGGATCTTTTGTTGAAACATCTTTGTCGATATCTAATCCATGAGTCGTTGGCAAACAAATACCTCTGCGTTTCTGGCGATGAATATCTTTCTCATTGGAATCGTTACAATCGTTTTGAATTTCAAGGTATTCGCACGTATTGTCACCAGTTACGGAAAATGTGTTTTTTTGTAGGCCGCTCGACGACATATTTTCGTCTTTCGAAATGTTGTGCGCCGACTCGCACTCCGAAATAAGGCAAATAGCAGTTGTTGCTGGTTCGTTTTCAATTTGACAGATTTGGTTGATAATACCATTTTCCGTGCATTCCGAATTTTGTACGATATTAGTTAATAAGTATTGTTTATCCGTGGTGATTTCCTCGGAAGTAGCCCTTGGAGAATGATCAATAGAACAGGAGGACGACGCGAATGAATTGGGATAATACTGTTTGAAAGATCTAGGGGTGACAGCTTTGTTGGTTACGGTCTTAGAGCTTTCATCGGTAGCTTTAGATATACCTCCGATTTTTGATGGGTGAAATTTTCCATAGTAGAACAACATGCTCGTCAAGCCGATAATCATTCCTCCAATTATTAAACCTGTCATTATCGCTATTTCTTCAGCTTTTATCGCATCTTTAAAACATAATACAAACACGATTAAAAAGACTATGTTTTCTATTACAATGACAGAGTAAAACACGAATACTCTATACCGAGATTTGCCTACGCGTAAATTAAAAAAATCGAAGCAATAAATAAATCCTATAATACAATTATAAATACGCTCTTCCCATACGGTTGGGCAAAAGTCTGTGTTTTGGAGAAGTACCCAAATGGTCATAAAAAGCCAGTGGAATCCTGTAACATTCAGAGTGGAACACGAACTACGTGAAAGACATGAGTTTATTTTGAGCAATCTTGCTAGTTCGCTCTCATACTTACCAAGAAACAATAAAGACCATTCTTTTAAACAAATTACTGTTAAAACCAAAACAGCTATTCGGGATATCAGCATTCCAGCTCGCCAAAGACCTTGAAGAGTCAGTACTATCCATGTTGCTTCATTATGATCAGGATTTATTTTGTGCATTGCTTTTGTATATGTACTTATAGCCCAGCTCAATGAACAAAAGGAGACTACAGCGGATAAACCTATTTAATTATTTATTTTAAAATGTATTAAACATTGTTAATTTTTTTTATTTTTAAGATAATTGCCATTTGTATTTGCTCAAAACTTTTAGTCAGTGACAGTGACAGTGGCGGTTATATTATTTTTAGCACTACAAACACCCACCCTACTGGGAGAAGAGAACATTATTTTTAAAGTTTCAGTGCTGTAAGTTTCCAAATAGAATGCTTAGATAGTAACTGTGTAATTGGTTTCTAATAATGAAACATCTTAGAGTCTACAAGAAGATAGAATACTGACAATTATATCTATGCCACTGCCTTTGTTATCTATGGGGGCGGGTCAAAGGATGTGAAGATATGCAGCCATACAATATTAGTTTCTCTTCAAGTTCTTTAAATTCTAATACCTCTGTGTCTCAAAAGTATTATTATTTTAAACAATAATAGCGCATTTATATTATTTGAAAGTGAAATATATGTATGTTTTTACTAACATGTTCTCAGGACTACAAGTAAGTACTATTATCTATTTAATATAAGTATTAAAATAATAAGCCGTTTATATTATACATGAACTATTTTTCTACAGAGACAACTTATACTATTAAAGTTAGTTATGATATTTGTTATAATATTTATGTTGTTTATATTATTATTAAGTTTGCTATGTAATTCATATTTACATGCAAGCAAACATGTAAAAATTGCAAATTATATCAGCAATGAAAATTATAAGCATAGTAATCTAATAAGCAATAAATCTACTATAGCCCTGTTTTCAATAGAAGAGATGAGGAATATAAGAATGGAATTAAAATCTAGAAAAAATGAATTAGAACAATATTGTAAAATCATTGGTAGAACAAGCTCAAACTTAGACAATGTATTATCGAATATGATTATTGATACGTGAGTATCACATAATTTACTGCGTCTATTGCATTGTAAAGTGTAAATTTATTGAATTTATATTCTACAGAACACATGGATTATCATGGTGTCCTATATATAAAGCAGCAAGTTCTACTTGGATGAAGCACTTTGCTACACTTGGAGGTGTATTAACAGAATCAGCTATGGAATTGATTCGCAAAAATATTTTGCAGATTAATACTATTGTTAGGAAAGCATTTCCACGTGATCGAGATGTTAAAAAAGTGTATCAAGTATGTAATATATAAAGACTACAAAGTAACAAAATATAATATACAAATATTTGAATGCCAAACATTCTTGTTGCAGAAGTTAAATACAACAACGAAATTTCTAATAGTGCGTCATCCATTTGAACGTTTAGTATCTGCATATAGGGATAAATTAGAACATATAGAAGGAAGAGATTATTATTATAAAAGATTTGGACGTCATATAGCACACAAATACCATCGCTATAGGAAACCAAATGAAACAAAATTAGAACCCACGTTTACTGAATTTCTTCGATTTATAGTGGAAGAAAAATATTTTGATGAACATTGGGCACCATTTATCGATACTTGTGAACCTTGTTTAATTCAGTATAATTACATTTTAAAATTTGATACTTTTGATAGAGATCAAAAGTTCTTAATACAAGAATTAGGTTTAAATGAATACCTGTATGAAAAAAATGACTTGAAAAATATAAATCCACGCGGAGTTACAACCACTACTTTAGTTAAACAATACATGCAAAATGTTCCTAGATCATTGCTCGATGAAATTAACAAAGTTTATGAACATGATTTTAAACTTTTTTCCTATTTACCCATATAATATCTCAAGATATTTAAGAGTAACAGTAGAAACAAAAGCATAATAAATCTAAAAGTTATATTTAATTCTTTTTAATACAATTTAAGCAATAATAATCTCTGCCATAGAATTAACAGTTTTTAAATTTTTTGGATTAAGATAACTGTTTTATTTGTTCTTACTTGTCCATAATGGTGTATAACGTAATACTGCCATGATATACAGTTGCAATATTAATTGTGGAGCAGCCCCCATAAATGATTCAAATAAATGCAACATACATATATCACTTTCCTGTCTATATACCCAATTTTTATCCTTCACAAATCGTTTGTTCCTTAATGAATATATTGTGGAGTAAAGTAAAATTAAATACCTAAAAATAAAATAATTCACCCTATCAGAAAAAACACAACTAACTGCTGGCTGGTAAAAACAAACTTAACACAATACCTGTGTAATACTCCCAAGAATAAAAAATGTAATAACCAATGTATGTTCTTAATGGAACCATCGCTGTGATACCATCTCAGACTAAATATTTGAATAACACCTGCAGGTAAAATTGTAAAGCTCAAAGCAAAGCATCCCCAAACAAACTCCCCTTGTAAAAAGTATTCCAAAAATACAATACTATCTATAACAAAAATTTTGTTTCATGGTAACTATTGTATACTTTTTATGTGTATATTAAAAGATTAAACATATCTTCTATCACTTTTATTTTATTGTTTCAAAAAACACAACTTCATTTTTATGTTTCAAATGTATATATTTTTCACTTAAGTAAAAATTAAAAAAATTTTAGTTATCATGTAATATAAATGATTTTATGAAAGATCATTCAGTCCAAGCTTATACTCATTATATACTATACCCCAAGTATAAAAGAAATATATAGAACTTATAGATAATTTTAAGATGTAATTTTTATCTTACATTGTTATAATTATGTCATTAAAAAGTATATACAAATACAATGAATATGTACTAAATTAATTGCAATTGTAATATTCAGGTTTAAATATAGAGACCGTATTAAACATACATTGATTCAATAATTATCCTTTATATCTATTGAAATATGTTCTTTAATAAATTGTACTATTTTTCATACAAAGAAAAGCATTTCATTACAAGGAATACGGAGTAAACATTCATTCTTTGTTCACCTGTTGCTATATCGATGAAAAAAAAACTGACAGAAGTTAAGTAGTAAAATAAGTCTAACAATCTAAATTGATAACATTCTATTTCCCTGTGTAATGTTATTATCGATACATTTTTTTTCACAGTTTCATAGCACGAAACATTATCATGTTTTAACTCTGCCGCCGCCATCTTCCCGGCCATTCTTGATTTAATTTTACACAACAAATGAAACGCGTTCCGAAATCAGCCACATACTTTCCACTTTTTCTTTACTTAAAATTCTTTATGTCATTAAGTACGGTATATTTTAAGTTATTAAGTATCTTTTCAAGTATGTTATCAAGTTATTCCTTCGAAAAACAGAATTGAATATGCAGAGTTAGCTTGATTCATCGAAGGAAAATCATGGACATATACAGGCATAAATTTTACAACACATTGCACGCAAAACCTGCATATACACACGCGCAGGCGTATATAATATCTACGATTTTCAACATGTCGGTGAAATAAAATATGGCGAGTATTTGATGACTAGACGTATACGTACGATCTGGTGCTAGTTGCTTTTTGCTGACATTTTCACAAAATAAATGTTCTTCTGAGAATATGCCCATAGTTTAATTTTCAACGTAAATTGTACCGCAATATAAATCGAGAAAAGTAGTAATTATTGTACATCTTAACCTTATAGAGCAAAAAAATTTTTAACTCTATATAAATTAGAATTTTGAACAAAACCGGCGATGCCGTTAATTTTGAAATCACATTAACTATTGTCGAGAATACAAAGATAAATGACAATATTTTTCAATTATTAAGAAATGATACTTTTCTGCAAAATATTTATGTTTGGAATACATCAGAAAGTGAATCATTGAGTAAAACTGTCATCAACTTTGCCACATTGTAAGTACTGAAAAAATTATTGTTCATTCTCAAATATATTGAATCATAGAAAAAGCTGTTAATTGGTGTTGTTATTATTTTTTTTCAAAAGAAGGAATAGGAATGTTATGCTATTAAAAAGAAATCGAAACATCATGTACAGTTTTGAAGGAGATTACAGACGTAAACCACAGCAAAATTTAGCAGGTGCAAGTAGAAGAGATGAGAAGTCAGTTCTGTTGCAGCATGCACAGTTAGAACGTTTAAAACGAGAACAACAGCGTAAAAGACATAATGCAGCACTGAAGATTCAGGCACTTATACGTGGTTTCATAGTAAGGAAGCATATGAAAATAATTAAACGAAAAGAATTTGACGAAGAGCAACAAATAAGTAGTCGTAGAAATTTAAATTTAGATGAGTTAACAATATATTTCCAAAAGTTATTGTTCTTTTATAATCACACCTTGGATGCTAGCAGACTAGTTTGGATACTTCAACATTTTTTGAAACACCAACAAGAAATCAAACAGAAATGCGTGAATTGTTCAGAATGGTTATGGAGATTAAGGTAGGTTGTACAGCAAAAAATACGACATAGTAAGTGTCGCCTGTTGTTTAAAAATGTGAATAAAATGTATGTCTTATATACAGATGGATTCTTCGCATGTGTATGCAACATAACTCAGAAGCTTTAATGAATGGAGCTTATTCATTGGCTATACCATTAAGAGCATTAGAAACATTTACAAGTCGAGAAGATGCAGAAAAAGTCCTACATGAAAATAGTTATAAATATCTAGGAAATATCTTTATTTATTTGATAAAACATAAATATTTTGATCAATTAAGAAAATTAATAGATAATAAAGTCCCATCTATGTTAGAACCAACCTCTGTTGCACCAACACCAATTTCAAAATGTTTACTGGACATGATTAAACGACCATTAGATTTAATTTCTTTTTTAGAACATGAAGACAATTTTTCTATGCTTGTTTTACAAGAACTTTGTAAAAGTATATTATCTTCTAAAATATCTGATCCAATACGAATGTTTATCATTCCATCCTTATCCGAATTTATAGAGTTTCCATATAATCAACTAATAAAATGTATCGATAGAATTGAACTAGAACCAACAATAAGTTTACTTTATTCCATTTTATCTCTGGAATCAAATCGAATTTGTAAGTATACAAAATAATCGACAGTACAATTAATGAAAATAGAAAAGAACATTAATTAATGAAATTTCCTCTTTATTACAGCCACATGCAAATCTAAAGATGTTGTTATTACTTATTTACAAGTTCTTGCATCTATGAGTTCAACTATAATACCATTAACTGTCGAAGAAAATATAGAACAAGGAAGTGATTCGGACTCTGAATCTACTGCAAATATGATTGATCAGGATCAAGCCGATATTTTACACGAATGTATAGAAATGCTAAATGAAGAGCAACGTGTTCAAGGAATACTCTTAGCGGTAGATCGAAGCAAAGATCCAGCTGTATTGCAACCATTGTGCCAACTCTGTCATCATTTGCTAATTACTGACAAATTAGCCATTCATAAGTATAAACTATTATATATGCTCGCTTTTAAGCCAGCATTTTTAAAGAATTTATGGTCTGCTCTATTATCGGCTTGTCAAATGTCCCTATTTGGTGGAGCAACCCCTCTCTTACAAATCATATCACGGGGAATTGGTCTTTCTACGGAAGATACGAAAAAAATAGTTCCACTGTTAGCTGTATTTTGTTCACTATTTAGTTTACTTATAGCAACGTTACACGACACGGAATTTTTCATTCAAGATCAATCTTTAGACATTAACGGACAACAAACGATGCCGTTTACTACTTCAGAACTGGTATTGCTGTCAAGTCATTTAAAAGGCGTTTGCTTAGGTTTAGTAGAGCTTGCATTTCCCGATAGTCGGCCCACCGTACGAGACGATTATAAGAGAGCTGTTCTTGGTCCGTCATGTTCTCTACAAAACCAACAGGACACGCAAATGTGGACGCATTTGTTCAAAGTAACAGTCGGCTTATTACGCCAGCTGCATATGCGAGACTTAAGACGGCAATTTTGTCCAGAAGGGCACTGGATAGCTTCGAATATTGTAATACCAATTGATAAACCTCAAGATTTCACATTTCGCAGACGTAGATTGAGAGGGTATATTCCCTTTCAAGGATTACGAGTGTTCACCCGAGAAGACTTAGAAGAAGGGCCACCTCTTTCCGCAAAAGAAGTTCGAACGTTGACACTCCTTCGCGAAATACCATTTGTTGTGCCGTTTAATAATCGAGTAGTGGCATTTCAATCGTTGATTTATCGAGATAAAACGGAACAACAAGGTGAACTGACGCACTTCATGCAAGGACCGTCGATACAAATATCGGTAAGAAGAAACTACCTCTACGAGGATGCGTTTGAGAAATTGTCACCGGAAAATGAGCCAGAATTGCGATTAAAAATGCGTGTACAGCTTTTTAATACAGCTGGTTTAGAAGAAGCTGGTGTAGACGGTGGTGGTCTGTTTAGAGAATTTTTATCGGAATTGTTAAAAACAAGCTTCGACCCTAACAGAGGCTTTTTCAGGCTTACCAAGGATAATATGCTGTATCCAAATCCTACAGTACAATTATTGGTTGACGATTTCCCGAAGCATTATTATTTTATCGGTAGAATTCTTGGAAAAGCTTTGTACGAGAATTTATTAGTCGAACTTCCGTTCGCAGAATTTTTTCTATCAAAGATCGTTGGACGTCAGTCAGACGTCGATGTTCATCATTTAGCTTCCTTAGATCCGATTATGTATAGGAACCTTTTGTACCTAAAAAGTTACAAAGGCGATGTTACGGATCTTGGTTTGGATTTCACTGTATTATCGGATGAACTCGGTGAAAGACGAATCGATGAATTAAAACCAGGCGGTGCTAATATTCCTGTTACAAATCATAATCGTATCGAATATATTCATTTGATGGCCGATTATAAGTTAAATAAGCAGATTAGAGCGCAATGTTATGCATTCAAACAAGGTATAGGTAGTGTGATTCCCTTGGATTGGCTTCAAATGTTTAATAATAAGGAGCTGCAGGTTTTGATATCGGGTGCACAAATCCCGGTCGATGTGAACGACTTAAAATTGCATACTAACTACACAGGAGGATATGCCCCTGATCATCCGACAATCATTGCATTTTGGAAAGTTGTTAATGAATTTAACGACCAGCAAAAAGGACAGTTACTCAAATTCGTTACGAGCTGCAGTCGACCGCCTTTACTTGGATTTAAGGTACAAAGCGGTTATTTCTTTTTTGATGACTAATCGATAGGTACGTGTATATGTATATAAATAGATGGATATACATATAAATATATGTTGATTTTTTTCTAGGAACTTGATCCACCTTTTTGTATTCAACATGCCGGCAGTGTTGATCGCTTGCCGACTTCCAGTACCTGTATGAATCTGTTAAAGCTACCAGAATTTCCAGATGAGAAAACTCTACGCGAAAAACTTTTATATGCGATACAAGCTGGTGCAGGTTTCGAATTGAGTTAAGCTCAATTTTTTCCTAATTTTAAGCAAATTCTTTTAGTTAAATCGATGATACCTGATTGTATATAAATTGTAAACGTAATTAACATTAAGCACGTACTTGAAAACAAACTATGCAAAAGTTGTCATAATTCATTAATGGATAGGTGATTTGATGTTAATTAAGTGCTTTAAATATAATGTGTTTATTTATAACAGCGAGTAAGGACAAAACAGATTTCATTTGAGCCATTTTTCGCCCGCCAGAGGGCAGAATAATTTGAGAAATCTTCGTCGGATCAGGCAATAAACATATAACATTGTAAGGAGGGGCCAATTAATTAGCGGTAACGTCTATTAAGGAGACAACTACGAGTACAGTGAACAAATATGTATTGTTTGTAAAAATACGTTACATTACCCTACAGGATATATACCAACTTATGTGCATATATGTATACATCCATATATACGCACACATATATGCATAGATATATATATATATATACACACACACACACACACAACACATATTTCATTTGTTATAACTTTTCTGCCCTTGGCCTATAACTGTAAATTGTGTATATTTTTTGTATTCCATCATAATTACCGGCAACTATATATCAATATTAAATATACATGAGAGAATAGAATATATGTATTTATGAATTCGTTAATTTAGTGTAAATAATGAAAAGTCCTGAAGCGTTATATCTACATTTATTACAAATATGTAATTTGAATTTTACAAATAGTGTTCTATGTTTTAATAAAGGTTGTACACAAATAGAGAATAGGCTGTCTTAAAATATTAGAAATTTCAACTGAAATTTATTTAAATGAAATTTAATTACGATTAACTGCAAAATTAAATTGTACATTAAGGACATTAAATCGTTCACCGGGTCATGTTTTCATACAGCACTCGTCCTTAGATATGTATCTATAAAAATGGTACACATATGTATTTAGTGTTAAAGCTTATGTCATTTGTGTAACATGGCGTCCAAGGAGAGTAGCAATTTTCAAAAAGTTTTGGAGTTCAAAATTTATAAATGCTCCAGTTTTTCCTCATGCTATGTGCCAGAGTAAGCACTTTACTAGTATTTAAACGATTTTCCTTTGAATACATTTTGTAATTACAAAACAAAAATCAGTTATTACATGGTAATGATTCTCTAACCTAAAACGACGGTTATGTTGAACGATAAGAACCATTATATGTGAAATTATGAAATAAATATTTGCATTAATTACGCCGGATTTTTCGCCAAGTATTAAAATAATATTTTCTTTTTCTTTTTTTAGAAATATCCTTGTAGATAAACCATCAGATCAGACATCGCGCTGGTCTTCCGATATTGACACTTATCCACAGGTAAACATTGCTTAAAAATAACACGATTTATAATCAAAAGATTGAAAATATTGTTGCGAAATTTATAGAGATATTCAAATTACAAGTCTTTCTTTAATTACGTCAAAAAAATATTCGTTATTTTATGTCGCTGAAACTAATATTTCATAATAAATGTGTACAATAGATAATTTGGATTTTTCAGTTTCTTATATTGAAATTGCGATTTCCCTCGATTGTGAAAACAATTACATTTGGTAAATACGAGAAAACACATGTATGTAACATAAAAAAGTTCAAGATATATGGCAGTTTAGAGCCACAAAACATGATGGAACTTCTAGAAAAGTAAGTATTGAACTTGCAATAGAAAGGAATAATTTTAGGTGTATTTATATATTGTTAATCTATTGTTTACTTTCTCTTTCAGTGGTTTAAGAAATGATTCAATATCAGAAACTTTTGATTTGAAGCATATGTTAGGAAATGAAGAAAATTATTTTCCAGTTAGGTATATAAAGATTGTTCCATTGCAATCGTGGGGTCCTAGTTTTAATTTCTCTATTTGGCATGTACAACTAACTGGTACTGATGATGTTAACATCGTAAAACCTAGTATCGAATGGTTTAATGCGGTAAATATATAACAATATTTAACTAAATGACAATGTCTCTTATGACAATATGTTTATATTTTAAGTATTCTACATACTTGTTCTGTACGAATATATTACAGTATCGCCAAAAAGAAGTTATAAGGCTGTGTATGAAACACTTTAGAAAGCTAGAGCAGTCTGAAATTGTAGAAACATTGCAAAGAGTTACTGGTGTTCCACTTGAAGACCCTACATTGACCAGATTATATGATTTATTGGTTACAAAAGGTGACCACTTACAAGCTGAATGCTTCATAAGTAATGCTGTAATGAGTGAGTATTTTTCTCCTTTATTTATTGTTTTATATTATTCTGACACAATCTTAGAAAGTAATATGATTTATAATACAGTGGGTCTTTTAAATGACTATATCAATGCTCAGACTTATAGAGCAGTTTGGACTAAGTTATCATTCAATGATGGTAAACCAGGAATGAGAGGAGGCCACCAAATGGTCCTTGATCCAATTGCAGAACTTCTATATCTTTTTGGGGGGTGGGATGGCAATCAAGACCTTTCAGATTTGTGGGTGTATAATATAGCTTCTAACAGATGGACCATTATATGTAAAGATACAGAAGCTGTGGTAAGTTGTCAAAAGAAAATATATATTATTCTCGATAGAGAATTTAAATGTTAAATTACAGGGTGGTCCAAGCGCAAGATCTTGCCATAAAATGTGCCTTGACCCAGATCGCAGGCAACTGTTTACTCTTGGTAAATACTTGGATGCAGAATATAGAACGCCAGAAAATTTGAAGAGTGATTTTTTTGTATATGATATTGAATCGAACAAATGGACACAAATATCAGAAGATACGTTCGCCGTAGGAGGACCTCAATTAATTTTCGATCATCAAATGTCTATGGATGTTGAAAAACGGACAATTTACATATTTGGCGGTCGTGTTCTTGTATCTCCAACATGGTAAGTAAAACAATAGCTGCAACTGTATCAGTTGGTGCTCTAATATGTTCATTTATAATCTATAGTTCCGAAGATCACGTTATGATGTCAAGTTCGACTGAACCCACTTTTTCTGGATTGTATTCTTATCATGTACCAACTGGTACCTGGAACAAACTTGCCTGTGACATTGCAAAACCATGTCCTAATGCACCAACTATTAGATCTAGAGCTGGTCATTCTATGTTGTTTCATCCTGTATGTATGCGTAATATCGTACGATGTATATTATGGATGTAATATAATTGAAAAATTTCATCCTCTTACAGGGATTGCGGAGATTATATATTTTCGCAGGTCAGAGAGGTAAAGAGGATCTTAGCGATTTTTTTACGTACGAAGTTGATACAAATCACATTGAACACATATTTAACGATTTCGGTGCTAAAGATTCAAATCATGTTCCGGCGGCTGGATTTACGCAAAGAGCCACTATTGACCCTGAATTGGGAGAAATATATGTTTTATCGGTTTGTATCATATAATTATTTTTGTTAATCATATCCATAATACAAACAATACTCGTTAACAGTAGTATTTGAATTCTTTTCTATTCCTATTTATTCAGGGTTTAAGTAAAGACAAAGGTAAAAGATTTGATAGTGTTCAAAATTCTTTTTGGGTGTATAGTATTAAGAACAATAAATGGTCTTGCATTTATCGAAATGACAATGTTGGAGAGAAATATTGGAGTAAAATGCAAGATTATGAACCATGTCCACGATATGCGCATCAATTGGTTTATGATCACGTAAAGAAGGTTTGTTGTATATTATTTATAAGAAATTATTATGTTTGTGCAGTATACAACAATAACGTTACGTAATATATTATTAGGTTCACTTTTTATTTGGAGGGAACCCTGGTAGGTCCTGTCTTCCAAATTTACGTCTCGATGATTTTTGGCAATTAAAATTATGCAGACCGTCTCATGAACAAATCCTAAAGAGATGCAAACTACTTATTAGAAAGCACAAATTCAAAGAGCTAGCTTTGAACAATAGCGTCGAAGCACTCGAATATTTACAGACCAAAGTATCGGAAATTATTGATCATAACGATGTGGAACAAACGAAAGAGGTAGTAGCATTTTTTTAATCAGTAACGAATGAATACTGAATACTCCTTGCCAATGTTGCCTTTTCAAATGTATGCATTTCTTCGTTACAGTTTCAATTGTTAACATCCCTTCTATTCAGAGAACAAAACTCCTTGTTAGGAGAAGCCACAAATTCAAATAGTTCAGACGCCGTATTAGGAAATTTAATTAACATGGATACATCGTCGTTATGTTATTCGACTACGCGCGATATTCATAGTTTGAGAACTGAATTATACGATAAACTGACAGAATTTTTTCCTGAGTCATCGACACAACCCCGTGCTAATTTGATCGATCTTTTACCATTGTGATCCAACAATAATTAAAATTTAATTAAGGATATTTCGAAATGTAAAGCAGAGAGATTCCTTTCATTTTCGTGTAAAGACATTTACTATGATATCAAACGAATTTTATCTTTAAAAGAGGAACGTTATTTTTATAGCGTAATTCTTTGTATCATTTTAAAAGGAAAAGGATTCTCATAAAGCATGCAGCCTTCCCCTAACATATAAATACACAACTTTATTTCTTTTACATAAAGGATAACTTTTTTGGAAAGGAAAAAAGAAAAAAGCATATGTCGATATATATTTCACCGCGATGCACTTAAGCGAGGAGTTAAATTAAAACAAAAATTTATCCTTTACATTTTTTTCTTATTGAGTTTTCGTTTACATTGGATTGTTCTAGTTGTTTTTGTTACATGTAAATTTGTTAGATTTATTTGTTAAGTTTATTTCATAGAATGCGATTAATAAGTATCATAATTATTCACCCAAGTACTGTTACACATTGTTCAAATCGGTTCTCACTATTAACAAATCGGAATTATCTTGTCGATATATATTAACCATGTGTCTACAAACAACTATCATTCTTAAAGCAATTAAAAATTGACTATTTTTTAAATTTCTTTTTTATCCAATGTGTATATACTGAAGGGATGCTTTACAAACTCGAACGAAAACTCGTTAAACGTTGTAACGTTAATGAGAAATTGCAACATAAGTGCAACAAATAGGCGACGCATTAAAAAATATATATTCTTCTATTTTTATGGCTTCGCTTTGTTCGCCATTTAAAATATTTTATACAATGTATTGTTATCGAAGCATCATCTGTACATCATGCGAAATAGGTCAAACTAGCATTACCATTTATATTCATAATAAGAATTTACTATACATACTTCACGATAAATGTTATAAAGCTTAGTACATAATAGTAAACTGTTATAAAGCATGGAGCTTTCTATGCATACTATGTATATCTGCAATATGTTTTATTATACTCTATGTTTGTATTATTGCTACATCGCTATTTAAATAATCAGTTATCATGAAGAAGACGCGCCAGCATATTTGCTTGTGATAGAATTGGTATAAAAAGCATTACCTTTGTTTTCGCGATCTTGTATATATTCTATGACCATAGGAAGTAATAGCTAAAGCCACCATTATTGTTAATCTTTTTGTATTATAAATGTTATTCAATGACATGCGCGGAACATCTTGTACATAGCATTGCTTTATCGGTGTATTTGTCTGAGCAATTATTTGTAGCATTATAAGATACGAACAGCGAAAATGTGATTATAGCGAACGTTATTAATTATTCGAGATACATGTACGAGAAGGTATTTCTCTTAAGCGTATCTTTGTATATAACTTTGTGCGCTAGAGAATGAAACGATTGTACAATTCGGTTATAGTATAAGAAGTAGTGGATCTATACGACGAACATTAGAATAACATAACAAGGAGAAAAGATGCGAAATTTTTTTAAAAATATTTCATTGCTATCAATCTTTCTCTGCGATTTTCAACGAAAACAGGACAAAATAATTTTTGCCCGATAATCTGTTATAATTATTGGTTTAGTTAAGCGTGACTCTGGTATGTATGCGCAGTACAAGTATCTTCGATGTTTATCAGCTATCGTCGAAATCTATTTTATACGCGATCGTGAAAGTTACGTTGGTATTCGAAGGTACGTTGCGTATATACGTTCAACAAATGAAAAACATTACTTCCACGATGTTATGCATATATATCAAGATAGTAAATATCAGATTTGTCTCAGGATTTTATCTGATCGTTTTATTATAAAATTCGACAAGAACGTTGAGTAGAATTCTAAAGACGTGATATTTGAAGTTCTAGTCAACTAATATACGATTATGGGGGAAAAAAAAAATAATCGCCACTCGATATTTACAGATGAAACGATAAAAGTATAATTTATAATGATTAAGAATCATAATCATATTGTCATGTAATTTTTCTGGTTTC